TAGATAACGGAGAGTGTTAATAATGTGACTTTCAGTTGGCGAGGATAAAATCCCAAGCAGGAGAAGACTTGTTATTCCTCAGACCTGGTGATGTGAGCCCCAAACGCATGGTTCAGCTTTCTGAAGGATAAGTCGCCAGGGATTTATAGCCCATCCCCCCTCCCTCAGATAAACTACAAATGAACTAAAAATCTCTCTTTCTCTATATCTCTCATATAAAGATATAAATATTCACTTGCTCTCAGTCTAAGAATGCATATTTAAATGCAAACACTTATTTGAAAGTCCTTAAATTAGTATGTGTTACGGGCTGAATTGTGTCCCTCTCCCAAAACTTGTATGTTGAAATCTTAACCTGCAGTATATCTCAGAATGTGACTGTATTTGGAGATAAGATCTTTAAAGAGGCAAGTAAGCTAAAATGGGGTATTCAGAGTGGGCCGTAATCCAATATGACTGATATTCTTACAAGAGGAAGAGATTAGGACACACACACAGACCAAGGTATGACCACATGAGGACACAGTGAGAAGCTGACCATCTACAATCCAATCTACATCTACAATCTTTCCTGAGAAAGACCTCAGGAGAAAACTAAACTAGCCCACACCTTGACCTTGGACTTCCAGCCCTCAGAACTATGAGACGCTAAACTTCTACTGTTTTAACCATCCAGTCTGTGGTCTTTTGTTATGGCAGCCCTGGCAAATGTAATACATTATGTATTTGAACAAACTTCATAAACAAAAGCAAAAGATAATAACCTAGAAAGATATTGGCTAACATACAAAACACACAAAGAAGGGCCTTGAATCACCTACATTCCAGTAACAGTGAGCACACTTAGCACTCAGATTTTAAATACCAGACAGTCTTAAATACCGCTGTCCGATAAAAGAAACCAAGACTCCATGGAGAAGTGGCTGATTCTAGGAATGCAACAGGAATTATTACATGGTATGAGCCAGGTCCTTTTTTTTTTGGAGCCAGGTCCATTTTATAGTGCCAGAAAGTAATTAGTAATTGCTTAAAAAAAAAAAGTCCCTCCCAATTATAGAGGTAAATTGAAGGGACACAGGAATTAACTGAAAGATCTCCCAACGTTCAAAGCTTTTGAGTAACAGATTAAAAAGTGTAAAATAAACATACAAGTCCATATTGATGTAAATAAATTCTTGAATAAATGGCTGGGGAATAATAGACAAATCTCCACGCAGAAGAATTCCAAATAATTTATATAGCAACACCACCCTCATGGAGATAGAGGTCAGCTCCTCACTCGAGCATGGCCTGTGGTAGTGACGTCCTTCTCAAGACCGCAGCATGGAAAGCAGGCTGGGGCGGAGGAGTAACCTTACAAGGGCAGGTCGAACAGACGCCACTTCAGCCTGGTGTTCAGGCTTGACATCAACAGTGACAAGCCGTGCTAATAGTATGTGCCCTTGATATAATATGATGTGATGGGACTGTGCTTCTGTGATTTTCCTCACCAAAACCCATAGCGTACCTAATCATAAGAGAAACATCAGACAGATGCTGGTAGAGCAGTTTCCTATGGTGTTCAGTTCAATTCAGTCGCTCAGTCGTGTCCGACTCTTCGCGACCCCATGGATTGCAGCACACCAGGCCTCCCTGTCCATCTCCCTGTCCATCACCAACTCCCGGAGTTTACTCCAACTCATGTCCATTGAGTTGGTGATGCCATCCAGCCATCTCATCCCCTTCTCCTCTCACCCTCAATCTTTCCCAGCATCAGGGTCTTTTCAAATGAGTCAGCTCTTCCCATGAGGTGGCCAAAGTACTGGAGTTTCAGCTTCAGCATCAGTCCTTCCAATGAGCACCCAGGACTGATCTCCTTTAGGATGGACTGGTTGAATCTCCCTGCAGTCCAAGGGACTCTCAAGAGTCTTCTCCAACACCACAGTTCAAAAGCATCAGTTCTTCGGTGCGCAGCTTTCTTCACAGTCCAACTCTCACATCCATACATGACCACTGGAAAAACCATAGCCTTGACTAGACGGACCTTTGTTGGCAAATTAATGTCTCTGCTTTTTAATATGCTGTCTAGGTTCATCATAACTTTCCTTCCAAGAAGTAAGTGTCTTTTTAATTTCATGGCTGCAGTCACCATCTGCAGTGGTATTGGAACCAAAAAAAAGTCTGCCACTGTTTCCCCAATCTATTTGCCATGAAGTGATGGGACCGGATGCCATGATCTTAGTTTTCTGAATGTTGAGCTTTAAGCCAACTTTTTCACTCTTCTCTTTCACTTTCATCATGAAGCTCTTTAGTTCTTCTTCGCTTTCTGCCATAAGGGTAGTGTCATCTGCATATCTGAGGTTACTGATATTTCTCCCGGCAGTCTTGATTCCAGCTTGTGCTTCATCTAGCCCAGCGTTTCTCATGATGTACTCTGCATATAAGTTAAATAAGCAGGGTGACAGTATACAGCCTTGATGTACTCCTTTTCCTATTTGGAACCAGTCTGTTGTTCTGTGTCCAATTCTAACTTGCTTCCTGACCTGCATACAGATTTCTGAAGAGGCAGGTCAGGTGGTCTGGTATTCCTACAGTGTAGTTGATCTATATTCCTCAAAACTGTCCAGATCATTTCCCAAGGAGTCTGAGAAACTGTTGCAGCCAAGAGTCCTAAGAAGGGAAGACAGCAACTGTAAATATGCTATCTTTAATGGGATCCTGGGACAGAAAAAGGATGCTAAGTAAAAGCTGTAAGAAATCTGAATAAAGTATGGACTTTGTGAAAGTCACTCAGTCATGTCTGACTCTTCGCAACACAGTGGACTGTAGCCTGTGGACAAGCTCCTCTGTCCATGAAATTCTCCAGGCAAGAGTACTGGAGTGGGTTACCATGCCCTTCTCCAGGGGATCTTCCCAACCCAGGGGTCAAACCCAGGTCTCCCACATTGCAGGCAGATTCTTTACCATCTGAACCACCAGGGAAGCCTGGACTTTAGTTCATAATATAGTTTAAATGATTTATTAATTATGACAGATATACCATACTCATACAAGGTAGTGTTAATAGGACTCAGTGGGAACTATTGGGAACTATCTATACTATCTTCCCAATTTTTCTGTAAAAATAAAACTATTCTAGAACTCTTTTTAAAAAATAAACCAAAACAGGAAAGTAGACAACAGAATATCATACACTTCATGTATCGGAAAAACAGTAAATACTTGGAAAAAAACTCATATTTGAACTACTAAAACATATGAGATGATTATTTTTCTCTTATTTAGCTGGCAAACTTTTTAAAAAATCATGATGCACACGATTGGCAATGTATAGGAATGTAAAGTAGAACTCCTTGTCTGCAGGGCATATTTGGTAACAGGCAAAAATGTCTATACTCTATGAAGCAACATCACAATTAAGAAGTGAATATCCGTGTGCACAGAAATTTTTTTTGTATCATGTGCAATAGTGCGAAGACATCTGGTACAAACTGCTCAAGCTAATATGGGACGCACTTCCTCTAAGTTTCCACACCCCACCTGGGAACTTCTTGGAAAAAAAATTTTTTAATGACTGGTCAACCTATAGCTGTGATCCAAGGATAAGAAAAATGGCCTGAAAATATTAGCTCTTTATTGGCATAGGATAGGAAAGTGGACTGAAGTTCCCTTATGTCCAAGACTTTCTCCTATAATCAACATCCTGGGGCTGATCAAACTAAGACCCCTACTTCCACAGAGGGACAATCCGTGCTGGGACCAATCTGCCCTTGTTATCAGGGCCAATTTGAGCACTATCTGGTCTAAATTTTGGCTATGAAACTATGACCGTGGGAAAATATGATTTTTGACTGTGGTCACAGTATTCTTTAGACTCCAGAGAAAGTTTGAAGAAAATTCCTTTTTAGAATTCTTGCCCTGAGGAACTAACTCCTCCTGTGCCTTAAGAGAGGCTTCCCAGATGGCGCTAGTGGTAATGAACTTGCCTGGCAATGCAGGAGACATTGGAGACGCTGGTTCGATCCCTAGGTTGGGAAGATTCCCTGGAGGAGGGCATGGCAACCCACTCCAGTGTTCTTGCCTGGAGAATCCCATGAACAGAGGAGCCTGGCAGGCTACAGTCCATGGGGTCACAAAGAGTCGGACATGACTGAGCGACTAAATACAGCACAATAGCAGAAATCTGGAAATTAACCAAAAGCCTATAAATACAGGACTGTTTTAAACCATGCAGATATCATTGTGGAATGTAGTGAAGATATCAATACTGTAGACTAATATTTGAAGAGAAAAATTCCATGATGTATTATGTGAAAATGCCAATGTGTACTGTGTCATGTCATTTCTGTGTCTATATATATATGTATATACACACACACATTCCTTGGATCTGGAATTTGGTGAAATAATTTAATGCTATCTGTTAGAACTAAATCCTGTTAGTAATTGTCATTTTATAAATGCTTTATGTTATTTTAATATATAATAAATATATCAAGTATTGTTTCATAGCACTGTCATAATTAGAAATCAGAGTGAAGGACCACTTTTTCCATTATCACAAATTGTGTGTGTGTATGCAAACATTATGTCTGTTTTAGTTTTGCATCCCATGGATAAAAAATGGGATTTGCATATACTGAAATGTTGCCTGTGGTAATTTCTGACTCATAGTCTGAGGACAATTTTTATTTTACTTTCTGCACTTTTGTACATTTTCCAAAATGTTCAGGGATCCACAGAATATTTTTTGTGGAATAAAAGATTTTAAATGGCCATTTTTAAAATAAATCTTTTGTTCCTATAAACCTGTGTAAAATATTGAAACTATCCTTTTGTTTTCAAAAAATATTTTTTTACTTTGCTTTTCTGAGTGGATTTAGTTTATACACCAAGTTTTTGTACATTCACACTGTCATGTGTTTTTCATGTACTAGCTACTTTTCTATTAGGTGAAATTTTCATGAGCTATTAAAACCATTGTTATGTTTGATTTGTCCTCTTGCACTTTTTGCTTTTAGGTTGGTGTTTGGAATGCTTTATCCTGCATATTATTCATACAAAGCTGTGAAAACGAAAAACGTGAAGGAATATGTAAGTATAGTTTTGTGAGTGATCAATTCTAGTTGAATGTTTCCACTGTATACAATACTAGAAAAACATTATTTTAGAAACAGCTGAAATAATGTTTTGGGTTAAAAATGTTATATAAATGTAATGAAGTTCATCTTTTTTTAAAACTAATTTTGAATATAATTCCAAAGTGAAATTTCAAAAATAATTTGCTGTCAGTTGGCATTTAAACAAGTATGATTCCCAAATGAGTCATTGGATCTCTATTCAACCTCCAGGAAAATAAGAGGTTGGGAAATTGTCTTTCAGTCTTATAAATGTATAGGTTTACCTGGAATAGCTCTATAGTCCCAAAATCTTTTCCTTTCTTCATAGGCATTTTGTCACCTTCTAATTGATTAAATATATAGATACCTTACAACTACTGACAATTACATTCTTTTTTTCTTCTTGAATCATACTATGTTGTAATGATTTCCTCTTCAGTCATCAGTCTTTCTTTTCTCTTTCACTTTCCTCTTCCTCATCTCTTAGCTGTTGGTTTTTTTTTTTTACTTTCACTAATTTTTAAATGTTTATTATAATAAACTCTTCAAATATTGTTTTATGGTACTGGCATACTTTAGTTTTTAGATACAAGCACTTTTTTTCAGTTAACAGTGCTTCTCAAGCTACTTGTAATACAGGACCACTTTGGGTTTTCGTTTTTTTTTTAATAATTTCCATTATGTCATAGACCAGTACTTTTTAAAATAAATTTTAAAAGTAATCACTATAAAAATGAAGTCAAACTCCAAAAACATACAAAATACTGCCCAAACTTTTATTATTAGATGTAGTAGATCTGAAATTATTGTCAATTTTATACCTAAAGCAAAACAGTAACACTCCACAACCTTGCACTAGTCCACAGACAACACTTTGCCTTATGGTGTCATATTTTAATTGGAATTCTGTTTTGAAAGATAAAAATAAGACTTACTCTTCATTTCTAAACACCACAAAAGTATAAGCTGGGAGTATACAACTTGCTACTAATTAATTGTACTGGCCAATACAGTCCTCATTTGAAAAGTTTATGATAGTGTTATTAAATGAGATTTTTTTTTTCTGAATCTACTTAATTGTATATTTGAAGTACAGGGTGATATGTTCCTCAACTCTGGGTCCATCTTACCTGTGAAGTATTATAAACCAAGGATAAACAATAACTGGTATATCTGAGTGTCTCTGTCTACATATCTGTCCCTGAAGTATTCTCACTCCCAAATGTATAATGTTTTTGTTGCAAAAAAATTTACAAATTGAAAATGAAGTTCTAATAATATGAGGATCTTGTCAGCAGGCACACAAATGCCATCCCCTAAATAAAAGATAAAATTTTGGAAAAGGAAATATAAAAGTATGTATGTGTTAGTCGCTCAGTTGTGTCTTACTCTTGGCAACCCCATGGACTGTAGCCCTCCAGGCTCCTCTGTTCATGGAATTCTCCAGGCAAAAATACTGGAGTGAGTTGCCACTTCCTTCTCCAGGGGATGTTCTCAACCCAGAGATTGAACCCAGGTCACCTGCATTGCAAGAAGATTCTTTACCATCTGAGCTACTAGGGAAACCCATAAAAGTATAACAGATTACAATGAAAAGAGGCCCTTCATGTGTAAATTAATGATAGAAGAGCAGAAAAAACAGTATTATTCAAGGATTGACCTAAGAACCATTATGACAGTATTACTACATTTCTTACTATGCATCAATTTAACTTTGTTAATGTTTTTAAGGACTTAAAAACATAGATTTGTGTTTTATTCCCTTAGTACAACACTCAAAATTTTACTACTGCATTATTCTATAAATTTGGTGTTAGTAAGAATGGTCTAATCCTCAAATTTTAGTTCTGCTTCATAAGTTAAAGTAATTTAACCAATGGAAGAGAATCCATTAACATTCTTATTCAAACCATTGGAAAAACTTTGATTTGACATGCGCTTGTATGTTTATATATACACACATACCTTCATACGTACATATTTGGCTATATACTTCGCATATTGCCTTGCACATCTTTTTAGAAATTAACTCATAAAACAAAGAAAGAATTATCTGTACATAATTTTCTGCAGTATTATGACTCTGAAACAAGGGCTTTAACCATCCCTTTGGGAATATCAGAATCATGAGTAATTGAAGGGAAACTGGGGAAGCAAAAAGGCAGGTGGCTGGAGTTGTTTTGATAATTACATGGTAATCAAATCTGCTTCACAAATTACGCAAGAGCTAGAGTGAAACGGAAAAACAGTTAGGCCCCAAAAGGAGAAAGGCAGGAATCTGCTTTTGACACAGAAGTATGATACTACCCTAAGACCTCCTGGGGACCAAACTGTCTGCCATCAAGTCTGCTGAAGAAACTAAGCAGAGATATCATACTAGAAAAATAACATCTTAATGTTTACGTAATTTCTACCAATTTCAAAATACTTTTATGTATTATTATTTCCAGTTGCTACTATATATTTCAGTTGCCACACATTTACTGGCTTAAACCAAAGCAAATGTATTCTCTTTCAGTCTCAGAAGTCAGAAATCTGAAATGGATCCACAGGCCTCATTCATTTGGGAAACTCTAGGGGAAAATCAGTTTCTTTACCTTTGCTAGCTTCTACAGGCAGCCCACACTCCTTGGCTTACAGCTGCATTCCCCCAGCTTCAAAGCCAGGAACATTAGACTGAGACCTCCTCAAGCTGCTATCCCTCTGGTTCTCCTGAGCTAAAAGAAGGTTCCGAAGTCGTCTTCCCCTAATAAAGACTCTCGTGACTACACTGGACTCACCTGAGTAATCCAGGCTCCTCGCCCCATCTGAGCGTCAGCTGATTAGCCACCTGCATTCCATGTGCAGTCTGATTTCTCCTCTAACAGGCAACCTGACATATTCACAGGTTCCAGGGGTAGAGACAGTGCCATCTTTGGAGGAGGGAGACGTCATTCTTCTGCCTAATACAGTATCTCAGTGGCCCTCACTCCAATTCCATAAAGAAGTAAGGAATATTGGAATATTACAGGCTCTGTGAGGTGAATTAACTTGCCCAGGGTCACGTGAATCATTAAGGCAGGAAAGGTATCAGATTAGAAAATAAATGAGGATTTTTCTCACTTGAAAAGCAAAAAAGTTGAAACAGCTTTCACCACCAACCAGCGAATATGCCTGTGATTAATTCCAAGGTGGATCTTCCGAGACCCCAGTTATATGGATATTTTCCAAGAAGAGCCGTGAAACAGCTTAACCAGTATGAGGGCAGGACCCATAAGCATCTAAACCAACTGTAATCAAAATGGTTAAAGCTAAAATGAGAAGTTTTTGAAAGTTCTGTATGGTCTTGGCAGTTCTTTAAATATTTCCAGCCTAAATTTACTTGTGACAAAAATTTTGAGTATCGTTTTCTTAGCGAGCCTCACCTAAACTTAAGTCATCTGATTTTACCCCTGATTTATAGCAATTTTATCAAAACTCTGTTCTCACAAAGTTTTCTTGTAATCCCATCCAAATTTGTTTTCTATCTGGTAGTTTCTTAATAAAAGTGACTTTCTTAAAATTTCCCTGTTATATTCTTAATAACCTTTTATACTATCTGTATTGTATTTTTGGTGTGTGTTTATGTTTGTTTTCCCCACCAGATAAGCTCCAAAGAGAGTTTTGTTGGTTTGTTAATTGTTATATTCCTATACCTAGAACAGTACATGTTACATAGTAGGTAACTCAACATTTTTTTAATGAATAAAGAAGGAAGAAGAGTTGACTTCTAAGTATATAACAGATATTAAATAGTATTTACAAGAACATGTCCCTTTCTTCAGTGGATGGGTCTAGTTTCTCAGCTTTGATTCTACTCCTTAGGCATACATAGACCAGTCTGACTTACCCCTAAGTCCAGTTATTCTGTGATGTTTGGTTAATACCTAAATTCTACTGATATCTTCTACTTCAAAATTATTCTCAGAAAGCAAACATTTTTGGTTAATTTACTTCTTCCCACCCTAACTGCTACCATTGCCTTTAAGCCTGCAAATATTGTAGATTGCACCTGATAAAACAGATGCTGTATTCAAATCAAAACAAATGAAAAGTGCTATGTATTTTGGCAACCTTCCTTTCTTCCTTTGCCTATTTTTAAAAACGGAGCTTTCCTAGGATATAATTTCCTGTATACTGTGGCAGCTATGGCCTACTTAAAGTCTTTCAGTCTTGCAGTAATTGAAATGTAAACTTACTGAAGAACTAGTATGGTTTTGCAATTTTTTTCAAGCCTAGACCATCTCACGACTTGAAAATAGAGTGTTTACTTCCAAGTTGTGTATAATTGCTGTAGCTTTTCTAGGAAACCAGTGTTCTTATTCTAAGAATGTTGGGGAAAGTGGCAATGAAAAGACTGGGTCACAGTACTTAGAGATCACAGACATTTGGTCCTGAGATTTACTGTGAGCAAGAACAAAGAGCGGGGAAAACTCTGGGAGGTGACTTTCTGAAAGGCCCTCTAAACCCTGTTGACTTAGTTTTTGAAAGTGACCTAATTTTTGACTGAATATTTGGGTGATATGAAGGTGAACAAATATGCCACATGCTTGTCATTTGGTAAAATCTTAAGTTGCCTACTACTAGTTCTGTCTGTCAGAAATTTGTCTACCAGTTATAAAGGGGAAAAACATAGTAAAGAAACTTTATTGTCAAATGTGTTCCCCAGGCATCTTTTCATATTTTGGATTAAAAACACTCATTTGATTGAAGGGTTTTCATAATTTGAGAAGTATGAAAATTTAACGAATTAAAGGGATTTTTTAAAATTTTATCTATTTTTAATTGAAGGATAATAATTTTAAAATATTATGTTGGTTTCTGCAATACATCAAAAACGGGGATTTTTTTTTTTTAATTTTTTGAAAATTAGTTTTGTCAAGCTGCATTCCTATTTATTTTTTATTCTGATCTACTTTTAATTTACTTTTTGAAAAAAAATTTTACTTTTGGTTT